ATTTAATTTCCTCCCCTCCCCCTCCCCCCCAAAAAAAAACTTCATTAGAACTTTTTTTTTAATTAAAATTACTTTTAATTAACTTCACAAGCAGCCCCCTCACCCCCTCACCCCCCCACCAAACACCCCCCTACCCCCACCCCCCCCCCCCCACACCCCACTTTGAAAGAAAGTTAAATGATAAATAAATGAATAAATAAGTAAACAGACGCATAAAAAGGTCCCATGACTCAAAATCAGGCTCATGGGCGTGAGTAATGAGGCTGGTGATGATGCTATTAATAGTAATGACGATGATAATAATAGTGGTTGTGATGATGATGATTTTGATAATGATTATGATGAGGATGAAGATGATAGTGACAATACAACAGCAGTGGTGATATTGATAATGATAGTCATGATAACTTTACTATTGATGGGGATAATAATAATGATAATTATTATTATAATAGTAATAATAATAATAATTATAGTAATAATGATAATAGTAATAGTAATAATAATAATAATAATAATAATAATAATAATAATAATAATAATAATAATGATAATAATAATAATAATAATAATAATAATAATAATAATAATGATGATGATGATGATGAAGATGATGAGGATGATGGTGGTAGTGGTGATGATAATAACAATAATAATAATAACTACAATAATGTTGATAATACCAATAATGACAATAATGACGATGATATTAGTACTAACAATAATAATAGTAGCACTAACAATCCTTATTACCAAAAATAATAATATCACATTATCAATAATAATAATCTTGATGTGATAATAACAATAATCATAATAATAATAATAATAATAATAATAATAATAATAATAATAATAATAATAATAATAATAATAATAATAATACGAAGAAGAAGAAGAAGAAAGAAAAAAATGATAATCACAAGAATAATGATAACCAAAATAATGATAACAATAATAATAATAATAATAATAATAATAATAATAATAACAATAATAACAATAATAATAATGATAATACTAATAGTAATAATAATAATAATAATAATAATAATAATAATAATAATAATAATAATAATAATAATAGTAATAATAATAATAACAATAATAATAATGATAATACTAATAGTAATAATAATAACAATAATAATAATAATAATAACACTAATAATAACAGCCCTGATAACAACAAATTCGCACATAAACAGAGCAACAACAGTCAAGAGCCAACAACCACAAGTGCCACTAAGTTGAGTGTCTGTGGGTGGGCTGTCCACTGGGCGTTGGTAACCCTGCCGCCGCCTACGAATGCCCTCTTGCCTTTAACATGACCCTGCCCAATGCCCATGTCTGTCCCCTGCCCAATGCCCATGTCTGTCCCCTGCCCAATGCCCATGTCTGTCTCCTGCCCAATGCCCATGTCTGTCCCCTGCCCAATGCCCATGTCTGTCCCCTGCCCAATGCCCATGTCTGTCCCCTGCCCAATGCCCATGTCTGTCCCCTGCCCAATGCCCATGTCTGTCCCCTGCCCAATGCCCATGTCTGTCCCTTGCCCAATGCCCATGTCTGTCCCCTGCCCAATGCCCATGTCTGTCCCCTGCCCAATGCCCATGTCTGTCCCCTGCCCAATGCCCATTTCTATCTTCTGCCCAATACCCATGTCTATCCCCTGCCCAATGCCCATGTCTATCCCCTGCCCAATGCCCATGTCTATCCCCTGCCCAATGCCCATGTCTGTCCCCTGCCCAATGCCCATGTCTGTCCCCTGCCCAATGCCCATGTCTGTCCCCTGCCCAATGCCCATGTCTGTCCCCTGCCCAATGCCCATGTCTGTCCCCTGCCCAATGCCCATGTCTGTCCCCTGCCCAATGCCCATGTCTATCCCCTGCCCAATACCCATGTCTGTCCCCTGCCCAATGCCCATGTCTATCCCTTGCCCAATGCCCATGTCTGTCCCCTGCCCAATACCCATGTCTATCCCCTGCCCAATGCCCATGTCTGTCCCCTGCCCAATGCCCATGTCTGTCCCCTGCCCAATGCCCATGTCTGTCCCTTGCCCAATGCCCATGTCTGTCCCTTGCCCAATGCCCATGTCTGTCCCTTGCCCAATGCCCATGTCTGTCCCTTGCTCAATGCCCATGTCTATCCCTTGCCCAATGCCCATGTCTGTCCCCTGCCCAATGCCCATGTCTATCCCTTGCCCAATGCCCATGTCTGTCCCTTGCCCAATGCCCATGTCTGTCCCCTGCCCAATGCCCATGTCTATCCCTTGCCCAATGCCCATGTCTGTCCCTTCCCCAATGCCCATGTCTGTCCCCTGCCCAATGCCCATGTCTATCCCTTGCCCAATGCCCATGTCTGTCCCCTGCCCAATGCCCATGTCTGTCCCCTGCCCAATGCCCATATCTATTCCTTGCCCAATGCCCATGTCTGTCCCCTGCCCAATGCCCATGTCTGTCCCCTGCCCAATGCCCATGTCTGTCCCTTGCCCAATGCCCAT